CTTCTTCTTCTTTTTCTTCCTCTTCTTCTTCTTATTATGGTTATTTATATTTAATGGCCTAACTCACCACAATGGTCCCCAGTATATCCTTCATTACACCTACAGTAGGGCGTGCGGCCATCTAGAGAACATTCACCGTGAGCACACTCCCAGTCGTCACATGGGTTTTCCACAGCTTTGTCTGGGGAAGAGAAACATGGCTGTTTATTAGAATATTCTTCTCCAGTTAGGCCTAGAACAGTGGTATCCATCTAGACGCAAACATTTCCATAAACAAACCAGCAAATCGCGTTATTCGATGTATGTATATCGATCGCTAATGATCCAGATGTATAAGCTATCTATTTTCGACCAATACTGCATGCATGATCTCTGTCTCTCTCTTCTCGCGAAAACTCGACCATTGCATTTCTGTTGTGCCTGGTATCTCATGTGAGGGAATGAGGAAATTGCAAGTGGCCTCCAAAACACCACACGAGAAGTATTTTGTACAAAGGAGAAGGATCCTGCATTAAAAAGTTAAACGCTCTGCACTGGCTTTCGGTTTAGAAAAATATCTATATAAAGTTTCTACCATCTGTTATATATGCCTTAATAATAGTAGTCCATCATAATAATTTTTATGTCCGTCTAGGCATTTTACACCGTATGTTCCATCCTGTCAGTTACAGTCATTCACTGACGCACGAAAACTTAGAGCCCTAGAATGAAATGAAGATGCTTTGGAGAGAGATATATTAATTTAAAACATTATTTGACCCTAAAGTTTGGGTGGCCGATGACCTCAGTGAAACAACAGATCCTAATACGTTTCAGCGTTTTCTGAAAATCATTTGTTTAAGTCTTAGATGGAGTGCGTTAGCATGTGCTTATGTGTGTCGTGCTGTTATTATGTGTATAAAATAGGTGTGTAGTATGGGAAGTTCTTCCTTCTGTACGTGTTGTGGTTGTCCTATCTGTATGAAAATTTAATGTCTTTTCTCGTGTGTCTGAGGTTTCACTATCAGAAGTTATAATATCATCGATGTAAAGCGTTCGAATAGCTTATTATACTTGTATGGAGACTGAGTGCTCTAAGGATAGAATCTTCCTCCTCCTCCTCTTCTTCTTCTTCTTCTTCTTCTTCTTCTTCTTCTTCTTCTTCTTC